AGAGTCCAGTTTGGAAACGCCATGTTGGTGCACCTCTGTGGTGCACCAATATGGCGGCCGGAAAATAGTGTAAACATCTGGAACTTACTTTGGTTGTCTAGGCGACTGATTATCTGTACTGAACAAGCAAACATTTATACAAGCACTTTTCCGAATAATCTAACTTCTAAAAAAAGCTAAAAATCATGAGAGAGGTATATATTTTCCGACAAATGCGATTGTAGCTTTGTGTCACGCACCGCCATAACTCTGAAATTCAAAGTACGTAGGTTTCAAACGAAGCTCACGATTGAGCTGTAGCATTGTAAACAGATGTAAGTTTACCCCTCTTATGCCTGATGGGGATAAAAACTTTGGTGGCTCTTTAGTTTTCGATTTTAGAAAATGGTGACGTAACATGAAAACGATCTATAAATTAAACTGCTCGGTCCTTTTCTTTTCGCCAGCTGCTCGCGCGTTTACCGCGGTTCAACTGCGCTGGTTTCGTGAATTTCGCGTTCGCTGTGCTCAAGATAAATTCACTGCCCATAGACTGTACCATTATATGGCGTATAAGCTAAGATATGATAGTCTGTATGTGTATTTCCAGCTTCAAAATTGGACAAGTACAATCCCTTTCACTTTCTTCAGGAAAATTTCCTGAGAGTACCTATAATTTTCACTGAATAGAAATAAATAGGGTAAGTTACACACAGCTACACCTCGCCGACGTTTTTTGGTCTTTCTTGGATCCCAAATTGCCAACTTCTTTGAACAATCTAGCCTGGCAGGCAGATCTACATATGACGATTTCAGTTCTAGATAATCGTGACAACTCTGCATACAGGCGTTGCGTGACTATAGATACGATTTGAAAAACACCTTGAGCCATCTTGTATCTCGCTTTAGAAAGAATTTTCTGAGAACTACACTTTCCTTTCTTTAATTTAAGGTACTTTCTTTCAGACTGCGCTTGCAATGTGCCACTTTTTATTGAATTTTAAATTTGAAATGTTGACAGATGTGATGAGCTCCTGCAGGTCTCCGGCTGTAAATTAAATTCGTTGCGTGGCAACACAATAAATAAGTGTACACGCGCGCACTGATTGAAATGCGCGCTTGTGATGCAATGACTAGTAAACTCTGGGCTCTATTTGTGTTGTTGCGATGAGGTTGACATTTGCAACACATCTCGATTTCGTTTGCTGATGGCTTACAGTTGTTCTCTGTTCAAGATCCGAGAAGTATGACACAGTAGCTTCTCGAAAATCGCAATAGTATGGATTTTAACTGATAAACAATCGTTCGATCTGCCGGCGAAATTACACGGTGTATTTTAATTTGCCTTAAACGTTAGAGACGATTTCCTATTCTGTCTATCACCGGTCATGTTGGAATTAATCATCGACAAGGATTTATTCTCGTAGCTTTTCAATCACAACTAAACGACGGCACTGTTATGATCACAAATAGAAAGCACTGACTGACACCGATCAAAGATGGCGACAACTAAAGCAAGTTTTCCCGGCCGCTCCGATCACGATGTTGGCCAAGGATCGAAGAAAGTCACTTTCTACATTAACGGTGATCGCAATTTCAGAGGTCAGGTAATGGTTATTACTCCGAGAAGATTCCGTAGCGTCGATATACTTCTAAACGAGCTCTGTCGTCTCACGTACTTCAAAGATCTGCCCCTGGGTGTCCGATATCTGTTTTCCCTTGAGAGTGGCGCCAGAGTTGACACTTTGGATCAGTTAATTGACGGCAAAGCTTACGTATGCTCGTCGCACTCGAGCCTAAAGAAGATATCGTACGGTGGAAAGCCTCCTCTGGCCCAATGGAGCTCAAGACATCAGATTGATCTTCCTGATATAAGGATGGCCCAAAGCGAGCCCAAACGTCGACCAGTGGGTGTCGCAAGAATGGCTGAACCTTCAAGACAGCGAGGTTTAGGTGACAGCAGCAGGGTTAGCATCAAGCCTAAAATGGTACAAGTTATCAGAAACGGTCCACACAAACCTCGCACGGTTGTTAAAGTTCTTTTAAACAAAAGGACAGCACAAACCCTCGAACAAGTTCTCGACGAAGTAAGCAGTTCGCTTGGAAATACAGGAGGTTTGAGTGCACCTAGAAAATTATACACAATTTCCGGACAGCAAATTCGCGAGGTGGCTGAGTTGTTTCGCGACGAGAACAACATATTTATAGCTGTGGGAAGCGAGAAATTCAGTTCTGACGATATCGTTGACATAATGGAGGATTTTGAGCAGAGAGGCTCGAAAAAGCAGAGCGATAAACGAAAACAATCGAAAGGTGGTAACGAAGGAATGTTACATTATAAACAAAGAAAGGCCAAGGATGCCGAGCAAATGAAACCCGTTGTTAAATCGTTTAACACGATTGAAGAGAGCAAACTTCCAAAGCTGCCTGACATTCATTCAAAAGTTGAGAACAAACCGAGACCAGAGAATATTAATAATAAAGACAACAAAACCCACGTGCTGGGAAACCCGAACGCGGCTAAGCGTTCTCCACGTGGGAAAAACACTCACGCAAGGAACACCGAGAAAAGACCTCAGAACAACTTCAAACTGCCTCAAATAGGTAACACTAATTTAGTTTCAAAATCGGAGAAGGAGAATAAAGAAACCGGAGAGGTCCCAATCGCTAGCAACGACGATAATGGCTTGGGTATTCAACCAGCAAATGAAGAGCTAAACGAATCGCAAAATCACAGCAACTTAAATCAGTCAGGCGATGTTAGCAAACCAAAGAGGAAAGTGTCGTTGAGTAAAAGACTCGGGAAGAAAACATCAAGGGACGATAGTGGAATTTTGTCGGAGGACGAGATAAAATACGGTACGATAACGGACAAAACTGTTGAAGATGTTTATGACATGGGCAAGAAAATTGGAGACGGCAATTTTGCCGACGTGCGTCAGTGCATCGATAAAATAACCAAGAAGGAATTCGCGTTGAAAATTGTCGACAAAGCTAAAGTACGAGGCAAGGAGCAAATGATAAGGGACGAAATAGATATCATGAGAAGATGCAAGCACCCGAACATTGTGCGAATGTACGAAGACTATGATTCTCCCAGACACATCTACCTTGTCATGGAGTTAATCAAAGGAGGTGATCTATTTGACGCGATTTCATCCTCGGTCAAGTTTACTGAAGCTGTCACGCGGACCTACGTCAAAGACATTACTAAAGCGCTGGCTTATTTACACAAGAGAAAGATCGTGCACCGCGACTTAAAGCCTGAAAATCTGCTGGTAAGTATTAAAGGGAAGTTCTAATTCTTGGAGACAGTAGGTCGCCGGAATCTGCTTTTAATACCGTCTAATTTTGATAATGGCCCAAAATATAAAACGTGTGTATAGGGAGTAAATGTTTTTCTTTGTATTGCTCAATACAAAGGAAGGACAATACATCGCCGTTTTGCTTTTAAATCAAACAATTTACGCCTTGGTTTCATCATAAAAACTTCTCTTTGTTTGAATAATTTGACTTTACAAATCAAGTTTTGATGAAACCATGACAACCATATTTAACTTTCTCTCTTTCCAGTCGCAAAGCAGATGGCTAGGCTGTATAGAGGCTAATTTTATCTCGATCGTTAACACAAGGTTCAATTTTAATTTTATGGCCACTTGACTGAATCTTTCTTGAAAATACTGCCTTTGATATAGATATCAGTGATAAAACGTGTTTTTACACCGGTTCAGCTCAAAGCCATGCACTTGAACTGAAATGGGGTGACCTGGTTAGTAAAATATTTTCACAGGGCATGCATAAAAGTAGTTCACGATTAACAAATAGATGTAAGAGGTAGAACTAACTTGACATTTGAATAAGATAGTTTCTGAATCAAATACAAGGCTAGTTGTAAGGGAGAGAATAGGATAGATTCAATGCCCAATACTTTGACTTGAAGAGCAAGTCCTCTACACTATCGTCTGATGCATAGGCGTACGAGCTGGGGAAGGTGGGGAGGGGACGATGGGGGCTGCAGGCCCCCCAGCTACGGAAATTATGTAATTTTTCTGGCAATACGACGACACTTGAGATAAAGCATTACAAATTACGAACGAAGACCAAAACTTTTGATTATGTGGTGACTCTGAAAAGAGCCTNAGTTTCTGAATCAAATACAAGGCTAGTTGTAAGGGAGAGAATAGGATAGATTCAATGCCCAATACTTTGATTTGAAGAGCAAGTCCTCTACACTATCGTCTGATGCATAGGCGTACGAGCTGGGGGACGTGTGGAGGGGGCGATGGGGGCTGTAGGTCCCCCCAGCTACGGAAATTATGTAATTTTTCTGGCAATACGACGACACTTGAGATAAAGCATTACAAATTACGAACGAAGACCAAGACTTTTGATTATGTGGTGACTCTGAAAAGAGCCTTTTGTAATGTCTCAACAAATGTTTAAAATTTTTTCCCGAATTTTTCTTAGGAGGTGTTCCTCTATTATGTTCATGTTGTTTAGCATCATATTTACGCTGCTTCTGAATTCGTAGAAGCCTTGCAGTGTACGCTGCAAGTCTCCTGTGGCCAAAACAAGGCTATTTCCAAGGACGTCTAGCAACGCCTCCTTTTATTCTTAGCACGTCTCGAGTCTATCGCGACGCTGGTTTCGAATAGAGTCCACAGCTTCTGTATCACGTCCAAACGGTCCATCTTGAAACACAAATGTCTCTGTTGCTGATCTGCAGATCGCTGAACGAATAGACTAAGAGTAGTCCCTCTTTCGCTAAGTCCGTCGTGCGTGACGCGAAAGAAAACCGCGAGAAAAAAATGGCCGCGCGAAATCGAAAGAAAACCGAGAGAAAAAAATGGCCGCCATTTTTATCTCGCGGTTTTCTTTTGCGTCACGCACGACGGACTGAGCGAAAGAGGGACTACTCGTAGTCTACTGAACGAATGCCGTGGAAGGAAGATCTTTTTGTTTTAATAAGTTTTAGACTTTTCTAGATTGAGACTGTTGATAGACGTCATTGAGTAGGCAAGCCTCAATACAACTATTATTTTTTGGAATTATAGTAGTTCATTTGATGTGAGAGCTGTGAACGGTTTTGCTTTTCATGCAATTTGAGTGCGTTTGAATCCCGATTTCACTGAACACTCACGCATTCGGGCATTGCGCANATTAACAAATAGATGTAAGAGGTAGAACTAACTTGACATTTGAATAAGATAGTTTCTGAATCAAATACAAGGCTAGTTGTAAGGGAGAGAATAGGATAGATTCAATGCCCAATACTTTGACTTGAAGAGCAAGTCCTCTACACTATCGTCTGATGCATAGGCGTACGAGCTGGGGAAGGTGGGGAGGGGACGATGGGGGCTGCAGGCCCCCCAGCTACGGAAATTATGTAATTTTTCTGGCAATACGACGACACTTGAGATAAAGCATTACAAATTACGAACGAAGACCAAAACTTTTGATTATGTGGTGACTCTGAAAAGAGCCTTTTGTAATGTTTCAACAAATGGGTGTTTAAAATTTTTTCCCGAATTTTTCTTAGGAGGTGTTCCTCTATTACGTCCATGTTGTTTAGCATCATAGTTACGCTGCTTCTGAATTCATAGAAGGTTTGCGGTGTACGCTGCAAGTCTCCTGTGGCCAAAACAAGGCTGTTTCCAAGGATGTCTAGCAACGCCTCCTTTTATTCTTAGCACGTCTCGAGTATATCGTGACGCTGGTTTCGATTAGAGTCCCCAGCTTCTGTATCACGTCCAAACGGTCCATCTTGAAACACAAATGTCTCTGTTGCTGATCTGCCGATCGCTGAACGAATAGACTAAGAGTAGTCCCTCTTTCGCTCAGTCCGTCGTGCGTGACGCGAAAGAAAACCGCGAGAAAAAAATGGCCGCGCGAAATCGAAAGAAAACCGAGAGAAAAAAATGGCCGCCATTTTTTTCTCGCGGTTTTCTTTTGCGTCACACATGACGGACTAAGCGAAAGAGGTACTACTCGTAGTCTACTGAACGAATGCCGTGGAAGGAAGATCTTTATCTTTTAATAAGTTTTAGACTTTTCTAGATTGAGACTGTTGATAGAGGTCATTGAGTAGGCAAGCCTCAATACAACTATTATTTTTTGGAATTACAATAGTTTCATTTGATGTGAGAACTGTGAGCGGTTTTGCTTTTCATGCAGTTTGAGTGCGTTTAAATCCCGATTTCACTGAACACTCACGCATTCGGGCACTGCGCAGTTTTTCGGGCAAGGAAGTCACAGCCCCCCTAAGTCCGAAGGTGCCCGTACGCCTATGATCTGATGGCTCCTAAAATTAATTAGTTTTAAGAAACCTTAGTGTATATTTTCCGAATCACTCCATCCTGGCCTTGTAGAAGACTAGTTCTCACATGGTAAGGGCCAGTCTTCAGAATGAGAGATCAGGAGTCTGTCTACAGACGTTCTGTTTGTTTTGCTTTGTTTTATTTATTTATTTATTTATTTATTTTTTTTTTTGCCAACGAGTTATGTTTCTCCGAGCGCGCGAGGTCGAGCGCGTAGCGGGAGTGTGGTCGCGAAGCGGACGCAAAAAAATTGAACTTTATTTTTGTGTTTCAGCTTGAGTGGTGTGTTTAGAGATCAGAGGTTTGACAAAAAGTAAAAACGAACGAGAAGAGAGATTGTTCTTAATTGCGGCTTTGTGCTATTTTTCCCCGCACTTCTCTCTTATATCTGTTTCATGTGAGCTCCTGTTGAATTCTACTTGAATACGGCTACTTTTATCTTCTAATTTTGTACATCTCGTTGCAGGTCCACAAGAAACCCAATGGGCAAGTTATCCTGAAACTGGCAGATTTCGGTTTAGCCATGGTGGTCAAATCGCCGATATTTACGGTGTGTGGCACGCCAACTTATGTAGCGCCGGAAATCCTGGAAGAGGCTGGGTACGGGCTCAAAGTCGACATGTGGGCAGCGGGTGTCATCACGTACATCATGCTCTGTGGTTTCCCGCCATTCCGCAGCGCCAAGAAAGATCAAGATGAATTGTTCGACCTGATCATGGAGGGAGATTACGAGTTCTTATCTCCCTACTGGGATAATGTCTCCAACGAAGCTAAAGATCTGATCTCGAAACTTCTCGTTGTGAATCACAACGAGCGTTATAGCGCAGAGGAGGTATTATCACACCCGTGGGTTAAGCACAGGGTCGACTCTCTTGGCTGCGAGTTCCTTGGTGAAAACCCCGAAGCGCGGAGAAAATTTAAGGCCGCAGCCCTAGCAGTTCAAGGAGCGAAGAGGTTTGAAAACTTAGCCGAGCAGTTTCAGCGTCAACGAGGCGAGAAGATCATAATAACTTGACAAATTAAGTCTAATGTACTTCCTGACTAGTTCTTGATATTAAGAACTTCCAAGGGGTGTTCACGATTGCATGCCATACTTAAGCAAATAGGCGATAAACAGTAATCACCGCCCTATGCTTCTCTAAACTATGGTTATTGCTCCAATTTAGTCAGTCATGCTCTCACATCCTGCCATAATCTAAATATATTAAGGTATGAAGCTAAGTAGTGTAAATCGCAGCGTTCTTTTCAGTAAAAAACAACTCGTACGTCATTTGCTCTAATTACTTGCAGTCACAAGTAACACAACACAGCAGTCACGCGTGTCGCCCCCCGCAATACTTTAATTGCTACAAAAACGTCAAGACAAATGAGAGGACATATTGATTTCCACCGATGGTAGTGCTGTACATAGTCACAAATGCCTTTAATATACGGTACACGGTCATATCGAATTTGTCGTCACGGCTGTTACGGAGGAATGTTACAAAGTTTCACACTGCCAGGAACACGAGAGAAACTTTTGCAGTATTCATACATTCTTACATGTCGAAGTAGTAGTAGTGGTGGTAGCATTTTAGCACTTCTATTTCTTGGAGAAAATACCGGATATATTTTTATACGAAATTTGTAACTTTGATTACTTGAATGATAACGTAATATATTTAAGTATGGCAACGTTGTGATTGTCTCTCAATTTGGAGAGTCCGTTTCTACTACACACGCCAAGAAGATAAAATGATTTCAATTTCACTGTAGATCTCGGAGATGATATATTATTCACATATGTATATATTCACTATTATTATTCAAACTGATTTTATTACCAATCTAGTAATTTGATAGGGCGCATTGAAACTGTTGTCAATCGATTCCTTGAAATTAATTAAGTAGACTGATCGCCTTTGGTATTATAAATACTGACTGTTAGATTGTAGGTATTGCTTTTAGCATCGTCCAATGTATATAATGATATAATTGATGGTTGTGCAAATGAAAATAGATTAAATTATTTATTGATAGAAAATGCACTTGTTTTGTTAAAACTTGTAAGTTTATTTACTTGTGTTTGGCGGCCGGATGAAAAGATTTGTGCTCCTGGGTGGACAGAGGCACTGTGAGAGAACATTCTTGCTCAAGAACAGAACGCGATGACTCTGGCCAAGGCTCTAACCCGGACTGTTCGAATCAGAGACCAGCGCACTTCCCACTGCTCAGTGCGGGGTAGTGCTGCTTTCACCCTTTGACGAAACCGTCAGTAGATCCCAGTGGTAATCAGGAATTGGAAGGAGTGGACACGTTTATATCAAAACTTACATGCAGATATATATGGGTTATTGATCAAGTGTGAGGTCAAAATGGCTGTATATTGGCCAAGTTCTTTTTATTTTTGCGTGTTCATGGACCGAGACGGAGTCGAGGTCCGTAAAAACGCAAGAAAAGAACGAGGCCAAAATCCAGCAATCTTGACCGAACAAGTTTGGTTAATACAGGATTTATTATATGGGCTTCGAAGAAATTTTACCTCGGGACACAGCGGGTAGTCCCGAGCGGGCGACATTGCACTTTATTATATGGCTAGCTCCGTGAGCCGGCAAGACGAATCAAATCCTGCGCCGTAATTGGCTACCCGAGCGGGCAAGATAGAGTTATCTTGCCCGCTCGGGACTACCCGCCGTGTCCCGTAAGAAAAATTTCCCCAAAAGCCACATAATAAATCCTTTACTGACCAAGCTTGTTCGGTCAAGATGGCTGGATATTGGCCTCATTCTCTTTTTGCGAGGTTATGGACCGAGAGTGCGTCCCGGTCCATAAACTCGCAAAAATACAGAACGAGGCCAATATCCAGCCATCTTGACCGAACAAGCTTGTCAAATAACCCATATTTCTTACACGCTCGGGTAGCCAGTCACAGTGCAGGATTTGGATCATCTCTCCCGCTCACGGAGCTATCCATATAACAAGCTGGAATATATGTCGTAGCTGTAGAACCTGACAAATCTGATTGGCTGAAAATACGAAACGAATACTCTGCACATGCTCAGAAAATCGGGTCGCGATTCTTGGTGCTGACCAAAAGGAGCGCGGCCTCTGGGGACGTGAATGCTCGCGAACAACCACAGTTCTCTTGAAAACGAGGTAAGAAATTGCGTGACATAATGATGGAGAACACGGCCAGGAAAGTGCGAGAGAAAGCGTCCGAGTTTATTTACGAGGGTTTCAAAGACGAGCTGCTCCACAAACTTAACGAGTTTAGAGAAACGAACATTCTCTGTGATACGACTATTCGAGCTCAGGGACAGGACTTCCCTGCTCATAAATGTGTTTTATCTGCTGCAAGTCCTTACTTCCGGGCTAAGTTTACCAGTCGATTGCAAGAAAATGAAAGCAATCTCGTAGAGTTGCAGGAGGCAGAATCGAAGACGATTGCCGATGTTCTTAACTTCATTTACACTGGTGAAGCAAGCATCCACTCTTCCAATGCACAAGGTTTGTTGATGATCGCGGACTACTTGATCATACCAAGTTTGAAATCGAAAGCGTCAAATTTCCTGGAGAGTTCGCTGAATGCTTCGAATTGCTTGGCTTTAGAATCACTTGCTTCTCAGTATAACTGCGAGACACTGAAGCAAGCTGCAGTCGCTTTTCAATTTGAAAATTTTGTAGCCGTCGCAAAATCCGAGGACTTTAAAACGCTTCATGCAGAGAACGTCAAAGGACTGATTTGCAAGGACGAGATAAACGTGTCAGATGAAGAGGAAGTATACCAAGCAGTGATAGCTTGGGTGAAGCATGAACTGCCGTCAAGGGAATGTTTACTTCCTGAACTATTGAAATGTATGAGACTGTTTTCAATGTCGAAGTACAGTCTACGAAAAATTCTCGATGAAGAGTTGGTCAGTAAAAACCTCACCTGTACAAGGATTGTAATCAATGCACTAGACTTCTTTCTGTTCCCAGACCGTTTCCAAGACATGTCACTTAAACCTCGTTTGTCTTTAGACAAATACGAACATGTGGTGGTGCTCACTGGTGGAATTGGCGAATCTGGTCTCAAGAAGAACACCCAGTGCTTTGTGCCCTCCACCCTATCATGGGTGTCCCTACCCATGATGCCATACCCTCACAGTCATCATGGTGCTGCAGTGTGTGGTGGAGTACTGTATATAATGGGAGGGGCCAACTCAACCCCAATGTGTTGTTTCAACCCAAAACAAAACAAATGGAGCTCCCGTGGCACAATGTTAAAGCTAAAAGGCTGTTCAGTCACATGCTTTCATGAAGAGTTGTATGTGATTGGTGGAGAGGGTTCTTGGCAAGATGTTCAAATATACAATCCAATTCATGATAAATGGAGACCAAGAGCATCAATGGAAACCCGCCGTGCTGGTCATAGTTCTGTTGTGCTGCAAGAGTGTATCTATGCAATTGCTGGTCATGATGGCACTGTTTGTCAAAACAGCGTGGAGTGTTATAATCCAGTAAGTGACCAATGGACAAAGATTTCAAGTATGTGTAAAGTCCGAAGGTTTGCTGCTGCTGCAACAGTGGGTGACAAAATAGTCGTAGTTGGCGGATTTGGTGACATGACAGTTAAAACCATAGAGCCTTCATGTGAAATGTTTGAACCAAGAACAAATCAATGGAGCCTGGTGTCTAGTCCACTTCGGCCTCGTGCTGCTCATGGTATTGTAAGTATAGACAACAAAGTCTACTTGTTTGGAGGAGAAGATGAGAAGTTGTATGCAGCTAGTGTGGAGTGTTTTGATGTGAATGATAATGAATGGGAGGAAGCTGGCTCTTATATGTCTGTGCAGGCTTCATACTTTGGAACATCACTGCTAAAATTGCCAAAAGAGTTTATTCTCAATTGATGAAAAAGCTCACCCTCCATCCCTAGGGAACAGTGGGTGACTACAAAAGTGACAGGAAGTGGCTAAAAAGTCCTAACTTATTCAGTCACATTTTATAGGATAACCTGCCCTCAAAAGACTTGAACAATTGTATTTTGATTAATGACAGCTGTACTATATATGAACAGATATAGAACTGAGGCACTTGGCCAAATAAATGATAGTTATTGTTATTATAAAAATAACTGCCCTAATAAATGTATAATAAAAAAATCATTCAAAGTAAGACTGAAATTTACACTACTAACAAGTTTGTACTAGTTAATATTTTTGGTAGCTTCAAGACAATAACTGACGCAATATATATAAACTATCTTTTAAAATCTTATACCAGGTATTATCATGCTAGAAAGTACAAATGGAATTTTTTTCAATATTCCACCTCCGTTAGATTTATGAATTTATTTGAAACAGTGATAGAGTCTTGGGCTGTGAATGCTGTTGCCTATTGGGTTATTAAGGACAAAAAGAAAATTGGAAAGCAGAGTGAGTTGAGTGTGGAATAGGAAGAACAATATTCCCAGCCTCCTGTTACCACGTTACCCCATCTCAGAACTTGCCAGCTTAACTTTTTCCAAATAACAAGCACAATTTTATTCTTAGAGTGGTTGGATTTTGGGTTTTAGGTTAGGCCCGACTATACCTGAAGATGTCCAAAGATTTCCAAAGAT